CCATCCTCTTTTTGTAATAAAGATACCAGCTGTTCCTGAATCAGTTTGACCATAGATCACTGTAAGCTATTTATGTTCTCTTTTAGTCCTACAACAAAATAGATCATGTAATATGAAAAGTGAGAATGTATGAGTTGTAGAACAACACAGTGTTTCAAAAGCAATTGCAGGCAGTGCATGAAGCAATCATTGAGCTACTAGTGCTATCCAGCAACCACTGCAGCTGTTCATGAATCAGAATGTTCATTCAGTTTACTTTGATCTGAGTTGTCTGTAATCTCCCACCAACATGCAGCTCATTGAACTTCCTATAGCATGTACTGTGCAACGTCTCTCTATATACTGCTTGTATGACCAACCATATTCAAACCTTCAAGACTGGATTGCATGTGATTAATTTCTGGGAGAAACTTCTTAGTGGTGACATTCTTTTACTTGAAGTTCTGTGCAAAGGAGACTAACCAAGGAACCTGCATTGAGTTTGTCTGAGAACTGCTCTGTGCACTAAAGAAGAACTCTGAAAAAAAATTATCCTTAACCCTTGTGGGGGCTACCCCCACCACTGCAATGGTTGAGTGCTCATTTACATCTAGAGAGGAAAATAAAAAAAAGCCACTCAACCTTGGAGCCGGGTGGCTCCTAGACCACTCCCTTTCACCAGTCTCCTCCTACACAGTGTATAGGACATGATGACTCAAGGATCTTTAGACCACTGGAGCAGAGGGGAAGAGAGGCTGCAAGGAATGGTTTAAGAGCCAGCTGGCTCTGAGTGAGTATAACTTTTTAATTTTCATCCCTAGAAGAAAATGTGCACTTAACTCTACCCCAGGGGTATCCCCACTGCAAGGGTTAAAAATCATTTTCCCAGAGTTCTTCTTTAAAAGAAGGGGTTCTCAGATCACCAGAGTACTGCTTAAAGAAGAACTATGGGGTTAAGGCTTTTCCCCATAGTTCTCCTTAGGGTAACGGGAGGACACAAACTAGCGTACTCCCATCTCCCTAAGCTCAGTATACTGCAAGCTACTATCTAAAGGGCAGAGCCAGCTGTACCCGCCCCCTCCCCTGTCCGACCTGCCAGTCAGCGCTGGTGGATCGGAGCGGGGAGGGGGGAATCCAGCCCCTCCCCTGTCACGGCAGAGAGCTGTGACAGGATCGAGAGGTGAGTGAACGCCGGTATGTGTTCGCACACCTCCCGATCTACTGAGCCGCCCTGTGACAGTCTCATTGCCACAGGTCGGCTAGAACTATGAGGTGAGTGAAAAGCACTCACCTCATAGTTCTCCTTTAAAAAGGAGTGGGGTAGACTGGCACATTATAGCAAGGCCTGGATGAAAAACTGAAGATTTGATTTTAAATCCTTACTAGACTGCACCGTCGTGTACATTAAAAATCAATGGAAACTTTTTAAGATTTGTTGTTATAAACTTTTTGAGTTCATCAATTTACCACAATCCAAGCTGGTTTATGTGGTAGAATATAGCAAGTTATCAACACTATTATTACATTTCTGTTGTAAATGAGCGAGGTCTGTTATTTTATAGACCAAGCAGATGTTATTTCTGAAAATGGCTCATCCTACAGTTATGGCTTTTACCATAAACCTCTTTATGACTTTTAGCAGAGTTCTCTAAAAAAGATAAAAAATGCATTTTACAGGTTTTTTTTAAATGGCAGGTGAAAAGGTTGTAATAATAATCTAAAACTACAAAAGAACAATAATTATTACTGTTATATAGGTGTTCATCCCTAGTAGAAAGACATGCATGAAATTCACTAACTACAGAGCACCATTCTCTGTAGGTGGAGCAGGTCAAAGTGAGCTGAGCCGAAGTGCAGAAGGAGTCAGCCGATCCAACATCTGGATTTTCTCATAGGGGCCGAACAGCAGTAAGTGAATAGCCGAATCCCGCTGAGCGGCATTTGATTCGGCTATACTACTCGCTACCTCCGAGGTAGCGAGCAGAGTAGAAAAAAAGTAAACAAATGAAAAAAAAGTAAACAAATGAAAAAAAAAGTTTAAAAGTTATTTAAATACATTTTAAAAATAGACAAATTAAAACAGTTAAGAAAATAATAAAAACATTTAAAGAAAATAAAAAAAACAGCGTGGGGTCCCCCTCCCAAACCATACCGGACATTTCAGGTCTGGTAGGAAAATTATGAGGGACCCCATTTAAAAAAAAAAGGAAAAAAATCGTGGGGTTCCCCCCAAAAATCATACCAGGCCCTTTAGGTCTGGTAGGAATTTAAAAAGGGACCCCAAGTTAAAATTTTAAAAAAAGTGTGTGGAGTTCCCCCCCAAAGTCATACCAAGCCTTTAAGGTCTGGTAGGAATGTTAAGGAGGAAACCACCCCCAAAAATGGGGGAAAAAAGATGTGGGGTCCCCCCTAAAAATTCCAACTAGACCCTTGATCTGAGCACAGGCCTGGCAGGGCAGGAAAGGGAGGGACGAGAAGCACTCCCCCCCCTCCCTGCCATACCAGGCCACATTTCCTCTGCATTGGGAGGGTGCTTTTCCTTGACCCCCTGTCAATGGGGACAAGAGCCTCTTCCCCACAAGCCCTGGGGTGTTGGTTGTGGGGGTGCAGGCAGGGGGGCCTCATTCACAGAGGGGTACCTCTTTAATAAAGGGGCACCCAGATGTGCCCCCCCTTGTGAATGATTCAAGGGGTACTTGTATCCCTACCCATTCACTAAAGGATTAAAATAAATTGTAAATAAAAAGACCCGACTTTTGAAAAAAATCAATTATTTGAAAAAAAAAAAGTTCTTTAATGTAAAAAAAAAATGGATCCACCGACATAATCTTAAGGTCAATCACGACGTGCAGTGTTGTCCACTTAACTAAATAAAAAATAAAACAAGATTTTAAAAATGGACGCTCGCCGACCCATTTGCTCGAAACAAACTCACACAGCAGAATGGCATTCTCACACATGTCGGCAAAACATAAACAATTGGGCGGAGCTAGCCGTGACATCACTGCTAGCTCCGCCCAACTGTTCACATGTAATGACAGCCCAGTACGAGGACGCTGGGCTGTCATTGAAGAAAACAACTGGGCAGAGCCAGCATGGCATTACAGCGAGCCGAAAGATAAGGCGAAGCTAAAGCTGGATCCTTCGGCTCTTTTGTGCATAATCCAATATTTCTGAGCATGGGATTATGTATATTCCTGTTATGAAAACATACAGCCCCTTCTCTCCAGATAGGGTCAGATTCGTAATATATGAAATAATTAATATTGCAGATACTGTATATTGGGTAAGAACATAAAGAAACAATTTTATTTTGGCTTGTAAAATATTTCTCATTACCTTATACAGATAACTTTTAATTCATGACAAAAAAATGTAGGCCATTATTAGTTTCTGGTGACCTTTGGCACGTGCCTTTCTGCTGTTCCCTGAACCCTCCACCGCCAATCAGGAAAGTTTATGTCATTAGTGCCTTCGTATGTCGCATTCACAGAATGCATGGGGAGCTGTTCTCATTTACTTGAATAAACATTCATCACTCTCACAGAGTATGGGTTGACCATTTGTTCTACTTGTTTACATTGGATTTCCTCAGCTTCAGCACACTTTACCTTTAGCAGCCACCTTTAAGAAAGCTTTAAAGGAGAACTATGAGGTGAGGGATTTCCACTCATCCTCATAGTTAGAGCTGACCAGTGACAAAGAAGCTGTCACCGGTCAGCTCTATAGATCGGGAAGTGAGCAGAAACATGGACCAATTCGCTCACTTCCTGATCATCTCCCTGCAGTGAGTGGTGACTGTCAGTCACCAGCTCCTCGCAGGGATTCTCCCCTCTACGATCCTCCTGCACTGAGTGGAGGAACGAATGGGGGAGGTGGCAGGTGCAGCTAGCTCTGCCTCTAGTACAGGGCTCAAAATTTCCACTCGCCCCCTCGCAATTGGCGAGTGAAAATTGCGTATATATATATATATATACACACCACCTGTCCAAAAAAAGTTACACACACTGTAATATTTATTTGGACAGCCTTTAGCTTTGATTACGGCATGCATTTACCATGGCATTGTTTCGATAAGCTAACGCAATGTCACAACATTTATTTCAGTCCAGAGTTGCATTGTTTTTCAACAAGGTCTTGTAGTGATAATGGGAGAGTTGGACCACTGCGTAAAGTCTTCTCCAGCACATCCCAAACCCAAAGATTCTTAATGGGGTTAAGGTCTGGACTCTGTGGTGGCCAATCCATGTGTGAAAATGATGCCTCATGCTCCCTTAACCACTCTTCACAATTTGAGCCCAATGAATCGTCATTTTGGAATATGTCCGTGCCATCAGGTAAGAAAAAACCCCTTCTTGGAAAAACCTGGTCATACAGTATATTCAGGAAGCCAGCTGACCTCATTTTTGGGGCGCATAACGTTATTGAACCTAGACCTATTATCCATTGAAAGGCTCTGACCTATTTGCTTAGCTAAATCCAGGTGGTGACTTTTTTTATTTGTAATTACACTGGTTGGACTAAAACAAATGTCGTTACATGATATCCTGGAGCTGAACTTTAAAGCTAATGTAACTTTTCCTCACACAGTGTAACTGTTAGCGCCAACTTTGTGACTTTGAAAGGTAAAATGATCAGTAAAAGGTTAATGAATGAAGCAGAAGAGTGGGCTTTCTTTCCCCTCTCTATCTCACATCCCATTTTCTCCCTCCTCCCCTCATCCTTCACGTGTGTGACTGGTTCTGTGGTTTCCTCCCCACTGACAGGCAGCCGCCTCTAAAACCCCCGGCCCTCAGCACTCTCATCCTAATCCTGCTTCTCACACAGGCTGAGTATGGGGACAAGTCTGCACTCTCAGGCACAGAGATCACTTTATGCAGCAGCTTTTTACAGTTAATGTTTTTTTTTTTTTTTTGAAGCCTACAACCACAGAGCAAGAGATCACTTCTGTGAAGCTCTGACTTACTTAGGATAGAGTTTTATATTGTGTGAATCCACCAGCATCCTGACAGTAAAGAATAATTTATGCCACCTGCAGCATCATTCTAGAATCCTTTTCTGCTTCCACTTTATGCGCCTATTTTATTTATGTTGTGCTTGATTCTGGAATTAAATCACCACGTTATCTTTTAGTTTTCAAGTGAATATTTGCCTCCTGATTGCCAATGGTGGACAGGCAGCATCATTATCCCATGCCGGGTGCAGAGAGGAGGACCGTGTTTTTGCTTGGCTGTTTCCTAGTAGTTTTGGGATGCTCTGCTGGACAACAGGTCTTCAATGCGGAGTCCAGACTAGGACCCCAGGATGCAAAGGATGGATCTGTTCTTCATAGCAGGACTCGCAGGAGGGGAACCCAGTACACTTTGCATGGGTAGGTAGATAGAATAAATGGTACTTGATCCTTCATTTACTTGTTGCAAATAACATTGTACATGATATGCTTTATTAAACTTTTAGATATCTTCCTCAGTGACTACATTATATAGTGGTATGGGTACTCTTGGTGAACTCATAGGTTAAACTGGATCTTTATTCAATCTTAGGAACAATGTAACTAAGTAGTTTATAAGTCGCAAATTTGCTGTATCTACCTTTATTTTTTCAGTTTCATCCAGTACAGCAGCAGGAACCACAGAACTCAATCTACAGAACTCCCACTGGCTTACTTAGAGGGGCAATATGTATGGACAGTAATCCACAGCAACAAATCAACAGTTGTTAGCCTACAAAAACTGCTCAAAACTAATGAGAGTAGACATTTGATTGCACACTTATTTGTGCTCTTATATTAAATAAGCTAAAATAACTTGTCATGCTGTCATTGCTACAGTACTTCTATTTTACACAACTACACTTTAGGACATTTAAATAATACAGTACAATGGTAGTTTGACTAAACTGTACAAAGGTGATTTCTGTTTGGTTGCCTTTTCTATACACTGTTTTAGCTTGACAATGCATAATTAATTTCTGGTAAAATATTATTTATATCTGTCTCTTTATCTTTTAGCATAGCATAAAACATCTTAGGTATGCTGTTTTTAGAGGTTCAGGTAGCGACAGATATGAAAATAAGCTTATGCGTTGTGGCTCCATGCCTACTACTGGGTTACATAAACACAGATCTGTAAAGAGCAAGTGAACTTGGAAGACTAATGTTTTATTAAAATAAGTATCTCCTCTTTCACTTGGCTACTTCATCATAACACAGTGTATAAGTTTTAGAAGATTTTCCAATAATGGCAAAACATACAATATCTCCAGTGACTTTATATATGCATCACATAATCCCTTTCTGTATACATTCAGCACTAAGCTCTTGCTATTAACTAGCTGACATAGTGAATATCAAAACAAGTGAACGTTTTGTGATCTGGAAGCCAGATTGTCACGAATACCGTGTGTGAGCCAAATGTAGTTAGTAACAATACCCGCTCACTCTGGGTTAAATTTGAACTACTGCAGTATCTTGTGCTGAACCTTCACAGAAATAGGCCATCTACACAAAAGATCATTGCTTTTACTGGGAACATTGTTCTAATTAAATAAAGTCTAGCTATTACATAAACATATGGTGTGCATAGCCATTCCATCGTTATTTCTCTACAAGACAAAGAGCAAAAAAATACTTTGCAGGTTGGAGTATATTATTGATATTCACTGATAAATAACATTCAATATATAGCTTAACTTTAGCTGTTTTTTTTAATTTTAGATAGAATAAGAGTTAATTTTTTTTGTTTTTACTATTGTTTGTGCCCCCATTTGCAGATTTTCCCCTCCTTCCTGTCACCGTGACACCTGGTACAAGAACGGGGTTGGGGGGGGGGGGCATTTGGAGTTGTCTCCATAACAAGAAGGCACAAACAGCAATAAAATAGTGGCAAGAATTCTAACCCTTCCTCACTTAAAGTATGATTTTGTTTATGTGTCTTCGATGGAGAAATTTCCATGTATTTCCTGACCTGACAAAAAGTAAGGGTAAGTCTCCCCAATAGGGACACAGATGGCAGTAGACCTAACAAAGGATGTAACCATATAGAGTGCAAGCAAACCCCAGTGGGCCCAGGAGCAAAATGGGCCATGCCATCTTCTTTTTATTTATTAATTAAATTGCAATACAATCCTTATTGCAAATTTTCTTTGCCTTTCTCGCTAATATGCATCATGGTTATGTTTTCACTGGGGCAGAAAGGAGTAAGTAGTCTTAATAATCAGAGTTCGCCCCCAAGGACTTGGTCTGGTAGTAGAGCCTTGCTACCATTGTAGAGATATTCTCCTAAACATGACTTACATCCTGTCCAGTAACTCTATAAAGGCATACTAGAAGCTGCCATCTCACTTAGTCTAAAATAGTAGATTGCATAGAATAATATGATAGACGGCATATTATATTTAATGTCAGTTTTCTCATTTTCTGTAAAGATTTGTGTTATTATAGATAGATTTATGGATAGTATTAGGAGCTCTTACATAAAGTAACTATGTGAAGTTGATTGATGCTCTTAAGTGAGTCATTTTGGGCTTCTCTTCCTCACTGTGTTGAAATGCTTTTCTTTTCTTTTTCTTATCGGGACTTTCATCAATTGGCGCTAATGCCCTGGTGCCATATAACTTTCATTGCAGCATGTGCTATTGAGGATAATGTATACAATTTGTAAGTGGGGCTAAATTAGCCCTAGTTTCTGTAAAGTAAACTTTTATAGCTGTGTTTAGACATAAGAGTCAGTAAATTTTCTTAACTTCAGGGTTTTTTGCATCCTCTAATCATTATTTTAGAACTCTGGGCTATTTCTTTGCCTCGAGGCTTCTAATGTGCAAAGGCTATTTGTGTTTTATGAATGAACTTAACTAGGCCATTGCTTATTTTGGAAGTCTTGCAGAAATTCTACTGGCTATGTAAACACAGATCTGGGCAGCAAGAGCAGAATGAGTACTAAATACTTCTTTTGATTCTGTATTTGTAGTTTTATGACAACAGCTATGAGTTTGTTACCTGTAATGATGATCTGAATTTGTGTTTATTTGTAGGGATGAGCTTTAAGACCAGGTTGACCATGAGTTTGACCTCAACCCAAGTCATTTACGGTGCACAAAATGTTGAAATAATGTGGCCATTTGCCTCCATAGCAACCAATAACCAATAATGCGCTTCCTCACCTCTAAACTGTTGTCAGGTGGCTTTTAAAGGCAAATAATGATGTTATGTTCTGGCCCCTACTTATGAACGTCAGGGTTCCCAGCAGTCTTTTGTCAGTGTGCATTGGATGAGACATGTAGTAGATAGGGAAAGATCACAGAGTGTTTGCAGGGGGACATAGTTGTTACTGCTGAAAACTGTTATATTTCAAGTCAGTCATATACAAAGTCAGCGTGTGTTGGAGACTTTGGAGAGCAGATAGGGAGAGCTATACCCTGGTGTGAAGGGGGCCTTACCATGAATTGCAGTGTGGTGGGCTATATATTGTTGTGTACCCCTTTCTTGTTTTTTTTACCTTTGTGTGTGTGTCAATTGCTGTTAGTTGCTTGGCCCCTTGTTGCATTTTTTTTCTTTGGTGTTCTATTTTTATCTTTTTTTTAATTTAATGTTTTCTTTTTTACTTTCAGTTAAGTAAACCCCTCACCAAAAAAAGTATTAGTGTTTTAGGGTTGGTGTTTGCAGAACATCACTGCATACTTGTGTGGTACATTTTAGTGCACCAAATACCACAGAGTTCAGTGCACTAAAGTGCCAAATCTTCAATCCCCCTATTACATAGTTACATAGTATTTGAGGTTGAATAAAGACATTAGTCCATCAAGTCCAACCTATTAGGATCTCATTCTAGGAGTACCTGTACCCCTGTATATTACGGTTGCCATAGCTGTTAATGAAGATCCACCAGTTTTCTTTACGTCTGGCAGACCAAAAGGAAAAGGTAAAAGTTCAACATGTGCAAATAGTAGGCGATGAGCAGGTTCTGCACTTGCAAATGAAAAAATGTACATAAACCATATTATTAATTCTTTGAAGTGAGGAGTGAACTCCTGCCTGATCTCTCACTTTAAAAATGCAGTCTACTAAGGCCACTTATATATTGTGCATATGTCTTTACAATTCCTGCCTTTTTGCTGTGAAACTATACACTGTAATTTTCATTTCTTCATTACAACCTAGCTGGTCTCTCATTAAGAAAGTGCTGCCTAGTAAAAGTGCTTACATATTGTTCATGTAGTCTGAATAATAGTCCAGGCTTTTTTCTTTACAAAATTACACTCCAAGTTAGAATTTTGACTAAAATCGTCTTGGCGTCTCTCTGTGAAACCTAGTTTCTCCTAGTAAAAGCTGCTTACATACTGTGCATGGGGTTAGAACAATATTTCTGTCTTTTTTTCTGTGAAATAAGAAATTCTAATTTTGATTTCTTAAAATATGGCTGGTGTTTCCTTGTGAAACTGTGGCCTAGTAAAAGTGCTTACATACTGTGCATAGAGTGAGTAGAATATATATTTCTGGCTTTTTGTTTCTGTCAAATAGGACACTCTAATTTTGATTTCCTAACAGCTGGCTGGTGTTTCCCTGTGAGCAGCCAGTGAAAATGCTCAAATACTGTGTATAGAGTCAACACAATTTTGCAGGCTTTTTATGTACAATAATACACTCTAATGTGTTTTGTAGAAAGAGCTGCCTGGTTTCTCTTTTTCCCCAAAGTGTGTTCTAGTAAAAGTGCTTAGATAGTGTGTAGAGTCATTACAATATTTTACTGTTCTTTTTTATGTGAAATCATACACTGTCACGTTAATTCTTTGATTAAAAGCTGCCCGGTGTCTTTGATTTCCAAAATATGGCCTAATAAAACTACTGTGTATGGAGTCAGTACAATATTTTGCTGGCATTTTTGTGAAATAATACACTTTAATCTTATATGTTTTATTAAAAAATCCTGGTTCCTTTACTTTTCAAAATGTGGCCTGGTAAAAGTATAAAGTTAGTACAATATTTTGAACATACTCTGAAATATGGCACTCTAACTTTTATTTCAGAATACAAATTGGCTCATCTCTGTAATGTGGGCTTGTGTTTTAGAAGTTTTTTTGTGGATTCTGTTTTGCAATGTTATTAAACTTGTATTACAAGTGTGTGGTACTGCAAAAAAGATCACAAGTTATACTCTAAAACTATTTTGCCATTGGTCAATTGGTATGTAATTGAGGTATTTAGTTGTGTTTTTTTAAAGCACACTTTCCTATAAATTTTAGATCTGTTGTGGCTGCTACCTCCAATTTAGGCCTATTCCCACTAGATAAAAAATCAAGTGCCACTGCCAAAAATACCCCCAAAAAAGCCATTTTTCGAGTTGAAATGAATTAGGTTGGGCTGCTGTCACTGTC